CAGCTTTACTGCTCATTCCATTCACGAATCATCGGAGTTTGGAAGCCATTTGATTGTGAGTCTATCAAACGAGGAATCTATGGAAAAGTTAAAATCCAATGATTCGGGAATGGAATGAGCAGTAAAGCTGAAATGTTTTGTGAATATCACAGACATATAGAAGAGCGATAGAAACAAGTTTGAGCTCTTAACTACTTTTCTTGATAAAGTTATGAATTTTTTAATTTTTCTGTCTTTTCCTAGGAAAAAGTAGAGAAACCGCTTTGACTTTTGACCAAAGCACAAAAATGCTTTTAGGGTTTTTACCAGCTCGATATCCTCTGTCTATCGAGATATGAATCATTGGAAACGGAAGTGGACACCTAGATAGGTTTCTTCGTTAGTTAGACGTTTCATTCCATCATAAGATAGTTTTATCACACAATATGCATATTGTCCAAAGAGGAGGCGAACAGTATGAAAACGAGTTGTCTTCATAAAAACTGTCCCGAACATATTCGATGATCGTCTGATGGTATGATACGTATTATACAATTCACCCATATATAACTTGTTTAACGTAGGATCAAGCACTTCTATAAAGTAGAATAATCATACAACGAATAAGACAATTGTAGATGACTTCCAAAAAGGACTATAAATCGAATGAATAGATTTGCGCGCGCAAACATTATTATCTGACTCTTTTCTATCAAAAGTGTTTATTTCTCAGGGTATAATAATAATGTTTTTTGAAACATGTTTTATGTTTTTATTCTTCATATCATTTATAGCATCGTGTACCTATAAAGTTGATAATAAGCAAAAATGTATACTAGATAAAACAACTGTTGACTGTGCACATCAAAAAGATCCTGAATATTTTAAGATTGAAGGGAAAAATTGTAATAAGAAGTTAAAATTAATACGTCTCATGTTTTCAACAACCACAAAACTGCAGCAATTTTTAAATGGAGAAAAACCCAATGTTGCTGTTCATTTAACTGATGAAACATCCACCAGATTACATATTATTTTGGAGACACATGACACGTCCTTATTACAAATTGATAGAAATATAACTGAAAAACTTGAAGCTCAGAGGATTACTGGACTTCTATTTGAGATATGTATGCTTTCAGTTATCATTTCTGTTTGAATTGTCAATATTGAGTAGTCCTATTTTACTTCACTTCAAGATTTCGTAAGACAAAAAATTAGTGTGTGCACACAAGAAAATATGCGGTGGATACTTTAGATTGAAAACGGAAAAAATGAAGGTTGTCACCCGATTATAATAGCCACTCTTCACTAGAGAAAATTTTTGTTTTTCATATTACACTTATTATATGTTGTTTATCTAGATCAAGTATCAAATATTGAACAAAATGATTTAGTTATCGATGATATTTATTTGGACAAACAATGGCCATTGATTGTGGAAATTAGAATTTCGTGTCAAGCTGCGAAGAACCAGTACATACAGACATTTTTCAGCAAAATGTCTGAATTCAAATTCAGATGTGAAAATGTTCTATTTACATCACAATGTGAAATGTTTATTAAAACGAGTAATAGAAGAAGACAATTTTGTAAACTAGATAAATATATAGCAGATTGTACATCAGCGGGTGTATTAGATAATGGTCAAATTGTTACACTTGAAAGATGTATCATTGATGTTTTGAAAGTACGTTTTTCAACAATAACGACCTATGAACAATGGTTAACAAAAGATAATTTTCAAATACTATTTAATGATCCAGAGCAGCGAATAAACAGTTTGACAATTGAAATAGATAAACAAGACAAATCATTTGATTATACTGGTATGACTATTAAATATTTAGAAGAAATTAAACCTGTTGTCTTTTTTTCTTTTATTTACAATTAAAGATGCACATGTTAGAATAGTAACAAATCATACAAAAATTGTTCGATATGAATTACGCATTAAGGAAACGGTTGATAGTTTTCAGCAGTTGAAATTTACAAGTAATACACAAATGAAAAATACAACATTGCAAGAAATAAGAGTTGTTGGACCGTGCTATCGAAGGAATGATAAATCTAGTATTGAAATTTTATTTGATCAACATCAAGACAAAATATCATTTGGTCCAGGCGGATGTAAAAATGTAGAATCAGAAGAGTCAACAAATGATAATACAGGAATTATCACAGTAGCTTCGAATTTTTCTGCTAGTAAGCAAATCTTTTTCCGTTAAGATTGGTTTATATCAATCATTAAATTGTGGTTTATTTTTATTTTTTAGTACTGAAAATAGTTATCATAGTTGCAGCATTATTCGGTTGGATTATTATATTGGGTTTGATCTGTCTTGTTCTATGGTGGTTTAATACACTTCGGATCAAAAATCGTGTCGAACCCATAAAACTAGCAGATTTATCGCCCGATGGTTCAAAATCTTTTTCTTCTTCGAACACATTATCCTCGATGCGACTACGAGAAATAAACACGTGTTTTCAAAACAACACGAAGAAATAGGTAAAATTCATCACTTTTGACCTATGTACTTATCACTTTAGCCACTTGCTTATTCTTTGTTTTTACTACAACCGAATAGAAGTATAGGTCATTGGCTATGCTGAGTCTTGTGGTAGCGTCTTTATGTTCAAAGAATGTTTAAACCTTTTAGAAAATTCAGTTTTGACTGTTTTAACAGAAAATTACAAAAATTTATAATTCAGTCAAACTCCTATAATTTAAATAAAATAGAGTAAACCGTGAAGTTTTGAAGTAAATACTTGAAGTAATCGATGACGAAATTAATTTACGACGTATTATTGCTTTTGTGGACAAATCCTGTTGTTGATTGTGACATTAATATGGTGAATATGCCAGTATGAACTATAACATCATTTATCGCTAAATTTTCTAAAAGGTTAACATAATCTGAGAATGTGGAAAATAAAGATGATTGATTTTTAACTCATAACAAAAAAATTTAGCCACTAGGAATCATGGATGTACGTCAATGTGACTCTCGCCAACTAGACCTTCGCCAATTGGCGAGTGTCCATGGAATGTGCTGGTGAAAGTTCAATGTACTTTCGCCAAATACACCAGATTTTCGCACTTTGGCGAAAGTCGTATTGGCGTATCTCTCGATTCTATCATCAAGAGAATAAATGAAATTGATATAGTATATATATCTGATATTCCATTGAAAGTATAGAATACTTTTTAAACAAAAAAATAGCGCTTGTCTTATGTTCTGTTCTATCTATTATCGGCGCCAAAATACAGTGCAGGTTGCCATTTTCTTAATAAATCAATAACAACGTAAGATAGAACGTTGCGCTTTTCAGCAATCGAAAACAGACACCTGAGGCTAGCTTTCCACAAGCATACACGATTTTTTGAAAAAATTGAAACCGGTTTTTGAGCAGATCTTTGGAAAACTAGTTTGGATCTCTGAAAACTGGCATAGAAACAGGACGATCTTTTTCATAGATAGATAGATAGATAGTCCAAAGTATCCTCTCCAAAACAGAAACTAAGCGAACTCTTAGTTTTTCGTAATTTAGGCGCGGGACAGGATTGCCTGAGAGGCCCAAGATCAATATTCCATTAGATGTGGTAATTCCGACAACGAATGTAAGCATAGGTAATCGACCATGCTGAATCTCGTGGTAACATTTGTTTTTCAAAAAAGTTCCAAAAACCGAGTGAAAACCTATATTATATGAAATAACCCATTTTTACCTATTTTTGAATAAAACTAAAGATCCATCCAAATTATGTCAGAATATCAACATGTACTCTACTTCACCTGCTTAATACTATGCAGTTCAATAAAGGCTTTAAAAATCAAACAAAAAGAAAACACTTTAAAGCAGGTAAAACAGAGTACATGTTGATTACCTATGTTTGCATTCGTTGTCGAAATTATCACATATAAGAAATAGCGATCCTGGGACTCTTGGGCAATCCGATACCACGCCTAAATTACGAAAAACTAAGAGTTCGCTCAGTTTCTGTTTTGGAGAGGACATTTTGAACTATCTATCTATGAAAAAAGATCGTCCTGTTTCTATGCCAGGTTTCAGAGCACCAAACTAGTTTTCCAAAGTTCAAAAATCGTTTGTGCTTGTAGCTAGCCTCAGGTGTCTGTTTTCGATTACTGAAAAGCGCAACGTTCTATCTTACGTTGTTATTGATTTATTTAAAAAATGGCTACGAGCACTATATTTTGGTGTTGATAACAGTAAACGAATTTTTTTGTTGTTGAAGATTAGGTAAAAACGTGAAATAATTGAATGGATATACATTCAGGTATTACAAAAACAAAATTTTTAGATTACGAACTAAAAGTATTAGAATGATTTTGAATCAAAGTAGACAACTCGATCTCATTCGGTGTAGAAAGTAGATTATTTATTTTTACCTTTTATATTATTTATTGCATTTAAAAGTTGACAACTATAGAAATCCTCAAAAGAATTAAAAAAGCTAGAGCCTAAAGACTATGCTGATTTTTCGTAGAAAACTGTCATATATTGAGAATTCTTTTTATACTCATGGGTAGAGAAACTTTTGCTGATAATTCTTTTTATATCATCGATTGGTCTTATTCCCGGTACCTGAAAAGTTAACATTCTCCATTAAGATATCGTAAGATATGGGTAAGCATGAAAATGCCATATCTCTGTAATAGAATACTTTCTGAAATAAATGGTTTCTACATATGAGTAGTCTGATGTCAGAGCTACAAAACACACTAACAAAATATCTCTCCACGCTCATTGAACTGAACTACTTTATTTTGCTAAGCGTGACTGTTACAAAAAAAGATAACCTTATGCAAATGTAACACTGAAAAGAAAGAAAAATCAAAGAGTATAACTAACGATAAGCACATTAAAAGAAACAGACTTGGCCATAAATCCCTGTACTTTATTTGTGTACAGAAAAGAAAGAAACAAGAATGATAATCTTTTAATATCATAGACATATTTGGGCTTGTCTTCATTCTATTACATACAACAAGTGTTTTTGGTGAAACAATGTATGGTGGCAGCTAATCGAAAAAATAATATTGATCGTTCAATTTTGTCAACATGAATCTCGAATTAACGCTATCTAATTTCAGACAATCATAAAAGGTAGAAAAGTACTTAATCGATTGATAAATTGGTACAGTTAGGCTGTCTTTTGGGTGCATGTCATGCTGTCATGTGACAATACGTATTCTGAAAGAAATTTAAGGTCAATTGTTTGAGCAGTCAAAAATTTGTAGCGTAAAATCGACGTCGTAGGAAAATGACAAAAAAGAGAATTTGTTTTCTTAGTTTCAGAATTATTCAGAATGCTTTGAAGTTAGATATCAATACTAACATTTCTTTATAGAAAAATGAATCCTGAATTCGAGACTTTCAGTATCGGTATTTAGTTGTAGTCAAACATGCGACGGTCGAATAAAAAGAAAAAAATCAACGTCGTAATGGAATTTCATCGTTTGTCTGGCTTCCCGTACCAAAAAGTTTCATGTTCATTTTTTACGTTAGTAAGACTCACAACAGATCCTCTTTGAACCGATCTACTTAGGGCTATCCAAAAGTAGTGAGGGAGGTACGATTTTTTCTTATAGAAAGCTTGAAAAATTTTTCTTTTTTTATGAACAGATAGAGCGTCTTTCGCTCTATTTTTCTATGCTATTTGATCACTATTCAACTAATATCATAATAATAAAATTTCGATAAGATCTATTT